TAAGGCCAACCAAAAACCGACAGCGTAGTGTTCACTGTTGGGTGGGTGGTACCCCCAAACGAGTAGGTACTCAAGTTTGGTTCTTGGATCCCGTACGTACGTTTTAACCCTAGCCACCGGGGTTCATACCCGCAAGGCCTAACTTAAATAGGTATATGTTAGAGGTCTTCTAGATACCTTTCAAATCAACATTAATATGGGTATATCTTAGAGGTCTTCTAGATACCCTTAACAATATATTATTTTCACAATCATCAATATATTCATTATGATTTAATCATTCACAATTATCATTTTTAATCAGAATATTTATTAAGATTTAATCATCATAATTATCAATCAATAATCATTACCATAATCATCATATCAATCAACATAATATTCAATAACAATTAGCGGCCTAGTTTCGGGTGTTAACACCCTAACTTACCGTCATGCATCACATAACATTTTATTTTTTAAAAATATTACTTTTAATGTGAAAAAACATTTTTATAATGATCATAATCAATTGGTATCAGAAATAGGATTTTAGAGCTCAAAAATAACATTTTCAAACAAATTTTCAGATCAGAAATTCGGGGGATCGATCCAGCCCTCTGGATCGATCCATAATATGAAAAAATCACTCCCAGGGGATCGATCCAAGCCCCTGGATCGATCCAGACAGTGGTGTTTCAGCCACTGTTCATCTTCTTCTTCGTTCGGGTCCAATTTCGGAAATACCGTTTTTAGTTATCGAACTTCAACGAAACTATATAGAGATGTTCTCCAAGGTTCATAGATAATTTTAGAATCATTAATTCATAGTTTTAACATCAATTTAATGTTTTATGATTCTTGGTTCTTCAAGCATGTCAAACACCAAACTCAACCAAACGACCGTTTATGAACGTAGAAATGATCTATACGAACATTCTAGTCATTAGATATATCTACGGGCTTACCTCAAAGCTTAATGGAGGTTTTGAAGATTTTCCGGCGAAACTTCCGGCGACAATAGCTCTTAACTCCGGCGACCTCACACCAAATTGACAGCACCACTGCGTTCTCCACACTCAAGGCTATCTCTCAGAATGAATTTGATGAAGAATGGTGAAGTTGGGTTTCTTATATAGTAAAAGAATGGAGGAAGAGGCCAAGGTGATGATGTATCCGTTCCTGTTTCGGCGTCTCAGTGGAGGGGGCTGCGGTTCCTACAGATTTTAAACGTATGTCCCTGATTGGGGCGTTACAGTATGGTATTTGGTTAGTACCGATACCGTACCAAATATTTCAGTTTGGTATGGGATTTCACACTGTACCGATCCCGATCCCGAAGTATCGATTCGGGATGGTTCGGGATGGTTCAGTTTCGGTTTTGGTTTCGGAAATTTTGGTTTCGGTTCGGTACTTGCTCACCCCTAGTAATGGTAATAGTAATAGTAGTAATAATAGTAACAATAATAAGAATAGTATTGATAATAATAATAATTATAATAAGAATAATAATTTTTTTATATCTGATTTGATTGGACCTAATCTGGTCTGATTTGATCTGATCTAATTTCATCTGATCTGATTGTAATAAGAATAAGTAATACGAAGAAAAAAATAAGTTGAACAAAACGCTGCGTTAACCCCCATCTTAGTGCAAGGATTATGTGGTTTAATATTTATTCTTTATTGTTATTGTAATACAGTTTTATTAGGTGAGCAGTTATAAGAACCTTCGAGGGTTTCTTTAGGGTTCTTTAACTCGTTGCTTTTCATGAACCGTCAGGGTATATAACCTAGTTTTATTAGGTTGGTAATTAGGGTTTTCTTTTTTATAGCCATAAATCGTCTTCTTGAGAAGGCATCAATGAAATAAACCCTAGTTTGCTCTTTTGTTTGTCTTGGAGTTCGAGGACACCCAAAATTTCTCCCTATCTGATACGTTTGAAGTATGAGTATTAGACAAATAAAATTACTGAAAAGGGGTAGACATCATCTGCTCGACTCAAAACAGAATATAACACACTACAAGAATCTGCCAAATCTGCGACAACAGATTTCCGTCACAGATTCGAAAAATTTGCAGCAGATTTTATATTAGCGACGAATCTACATGATTTTCGCAGCAACAGCTTGTGCGATGATAATCCAGAACATATAGTTATATTTATAATTCATTAAATCAACAATGTATTGGAAACTAAAGTATTGAATCATAATTAATAATGTTATCACGATCACGTACTCGTCATCTGAATTCACGTAAGCGTATTGATTGCCCTCCAGCTGGTCATCCTTATTCTGGTTGTCCTCATGATGCTCCTCCTCATTATGCTCTTCCTCATGTTGATCCTCCTCATGATGCTCCTCCTTATGGCTCCGAGCCCCTACGAAAATGACTTCTCCTTAAGTCAATAACACAAAATAGAAGTATTCATCTTCAAAACCTAAAAAAATAAACAAGCTAGAAGTACTAGTATCTAATGTCTCTATAAGTGGAGTCGTATGTGACCTCTGCGAACTGTTCAATGGTCCCGATTTCATAGAGGGCGACAAAACAGGAGCCCGAGAGGAACCCACCTCAGAGGAGTCCGCCCTAGAGGAGCCTGTCCTAGAGATCCTCCAATCACCAAATAGGTTTCGCTGGAGGTGTTCTAAAATAGGAATCTGTGAGGGATGAGAATCATCATTACCATTGCTCATCTACAAAAAAAACACAATAAATCTAAAGTTATCTCATATAAAACAATCTTAAAGAATAAAGGTAAATGAATTAGATATAAGAAAAAATAATATAACAACGGCAAACCATGTTGACTAGTCATTCAAAGGACTCGCGATTCAAAGTGTCTTCAATTTCTTCTTCCAAAGTGTCAGAGCTTAGTATTGGTTCCTCCTCTTCTTCGATGTGGAATACATTATCGGCAAAATTAGCATCTCCATCAACTGATAGAACTATTCTTTCGTCATTGTTATGTTTGACTTATACTATACTAGTTCTCTCAGTCTCATTTTTTTAAAAAGGTTCTTAATGCACATTTTTAGTTGGTTTTATGGAGTTTTCTATGTCGATCCACCCCCTTTCTTGCACTTTGCACACTGCCACCCACTTACTCATACTCTTTTGTGTGCATGGGTATTCAACATAGACAAATTGATTAGCTTGTGATCCAAAAATGAAAGGTTCATAGCAATTGAACTCTCCTTTTTAAGCACCTCAACCAAGCCATACTTATCGTGCACCTTTGACCCACGATTCAAGCATGGGTCAAACCATCAACACCTAAACAAGACACAGCGTTTTAGCGGCAACCCTGGATATTCAACTTCTAGTATTTCCTCCAATACTCCATAATAATCCTCATAATCTCTTGTTCTACTCACCCCACTGTTGTACGTTGCACGATTTGACCCATGTGTTGATGTATGGAATCGACATCCATTAACAAAATAAATGGGGTAACACTTGAGAAAAAATAATGAGTGTGAATCGTAAAAATAGTGGGATGAAAAAATAATTTATAAACTATAGTTATAAACATAGAAGTTGTAATAATAATAATAATAATAATAATAATAATAATAATAATAATAATAATAATAATAATAATAATAATAATAATAATAACAATAATAATAATAATCACATTAAAAATATATCATTTTTAGAGTAATTGGTTGGGGAGTAGAAAAAGTTTGAAGAAAATGAGAATAGTTGAAAGAAACTGGAAGGAACTGGAAGAAATTGGAAGAAGCTGGAAGAAACTGGAAGTTAAGAGTTCAAGCCCTGAAGAATAAGCTCTTAGTTACAAATTGTTTAAATTTAATATAATTGAGCTCATTTTAAGATGTAGGTTTGATATATAAAATTTTTATAACATTTTTGTACTTAATTATATATTTAATGTGTAATCAAAGAGTATCAAAATTTGACTTAAAAATCGAACTGTGACATTCATTCCATTAATTTCCGGACGAATGAAATATGTACTTCCTCAGTCCTAATTTATAGTGCATGTTCACTATTCACAATGTCAAACTTCATTCACTTTTTTCTTTATTTTAATTAGCAATTTGATAAAATAAAATACTATCATCACTACTAGTTTTGTGGATCTTTTGATGTAATATTTTAATATGTAATTTTTTTAAACTTTATACCATTTGTCATATAAAATGATTTGAAATTAGTTTCAGTCAAACATCATAAACTAAAACAAACACTAAACTAAAACAAACACTATAAATTTGAATGTAGGGAGTACAATATTCTATATGCATATGAAAGGTGAATATATTTACAAGGCCTAAGCTAGAACTACATTTTTTACCTTAGCTCAAAATTTTCTCCTTTTTCTATGCATTTTTGGAAAATTCGAAGTTCTTAAAATTTTGCAAAATTCAAAAAGTTAGAGGAAGTGTGAGAGCGAGTAGCATTTTGATCAAAACAAACACTAGACAATAAACAGATGCAATAGAATTCTATAAATTCACATTTATGTGGGCAATAGAAGCCATATTCGACTTGCACAACCGACACACCAAAGCGTCATGAAAAAGGGATTTTCTCTACCCATTCAGATACAAACAGCTTTGTCAACGCTACATGTTCAAATAACGAAGTCACAATGCTCAGAACTCGCGGTCCGGGAAGAGAATTGGGGCAACCATAGACCAGATAAACAGCGCAGCAGTCACCCAGCAAGTCGTCACTCTAACCCAAACCGATGCCCATCCAACATCCACCAATTTCCCGCTCTCCCCAACAGATGTTGACCAGCCAGTGAGTAGCATAGCAGAATACATGCTGGCAAGAGAGAAGATAATATGGAAAAAGGAATATGAATATGTTACCGGCTTTGACTTCTCTATCTCGTGCTCGTTCACCTTGTCTAATGGCAACAAAGGTTTCCCTTCAACAGAAAAGCCATGTATATATTCAATAAAAACAATAATAGTTAAAGAAACCACCAGGTGAACATTTTGTAGCGTAAAATAATCCAGACACTAACCAGCACGTGGTGAGCTAGGAGGGGAAAGCAAAGTTGTAGACGATCCAGCACGGACAGCAGAGTAGACTACAGATAAGACTGTTGTCAGCAGGCCAAGAGTTAGTGTACCAGTGGAAACAGCTTCTGAATGCCTATGAAGGCCGTTGCATTCATAATCTCTAGGCTCACTTGCAAGGGCACTATAACAAAGGTATGTACAGTACAAAGATATAACTGAAGCTGGGAAAACGCTTCCCTTCACCTATATAGCAACAATTACCAACAGTGTAAATTCACTTGTCCTAATGTAAAGAAAACAAAAGAAAGGATTGCCCATGATCTTTAAGCATTTCAAATATTAGAAACCCAGAATTCCCAGTGAGAAGTCTAAAAGGAACGTTGATGAAAATGCAAATAGCAGGATCCAAGATGCTTACTGAAGGATGAAGAGTGACAATAGCAAAGGTGAAGATAAAAATCAGAGTCATGACTATAAAGAAAGTGTTCAGCCCACAGTCATGTCCGGATGGAGTAAAGAAATGAAAAAGAACTCCACTAATAACAAAAGCTGCCACATAACAAGAAAGTGAAATGATAAGCAAGGCGGCATACCTACAAAATATAAGAAAGCAGGCAAGGATTAAAATCTTATAGTTGCAAGGAATCACTAAATATAATCCGCCCATCCCATATTTAAGTTCCCAATTTCTGTTTGTGAATGCCCGAAAACAAAGTTTTGATTCCTTTAACAAAAAGAATAGTAGTGTTCCTATTACGTAGTATCTCTCTTTTCTCAGCATAAATATCAACCACAAAATTTCACATTTTTTAAAACTCTGAAAAAGAAAATAAAAATGTAAATGTCGGAAGGAATATATTGCACACCCACTATTCCATAATGAAGTTAATGCCCAAAATGAAGTTAAGCGCTTCACTTCACATATTTTAAGAAAAGTGTGCAATTGATATCGAGAAATTTTAGTGAGCCACATACTCTTGTTCTTGATAAGATAGTAAGTGAAAATCGTTTTGTAGGATCCCGAAAAAGAAAATGTAAACTTCATTTTGAGATGGATGGAGAGCAGAAAAAAAAAAGAATGCATGATAAACAGACCAAAATTGCTCGTCATATCCAACCCATTTGTCATTCCATCCATGGACAAAGTCCAATAAAAGCACAACTTGAACAAGAAGAAATAATCCCGAACCAAACTTTGAAGTGGTCTCTGCATATGAATATAAAATCCAGCATTAAGCCAACTTACACAATGTTTTAAATCATCCTCGTGTCCCCTTTTACTCTTCCCTCTTCCCCCTTTTGGTGCATCCCTAATTAACCTTTCCCTTTAAGGAAAGTAGGGTGTGGCCCGTTTTGATTCTTTAATTCTTCATAAATCCCAACAAATCAATTTCATTCTCCTAAACTTCGTGTATAGTGAAAAGCAGAGTTAAAAAGGGATTGTGGAGGTAATGTATTATGATGCATTTTTTAATGTAAATAAAGATCGTTAGGGGTTAGGTAATACTCGTAATAATTGCAGAGTCCTTTTGACATTTTGAAAGCATGTACAAGAGATAAAACAGAAACCTAAAAGCAAGCCTCAAAGCTTAGAAGAGTACAGCTTACCATAAAAGCTGATCAGCTTGTTTGGAACAAAAAACATAAATATTACTAAAAGGAACCAGAAGATTATTTTCACCATCCACCCGCCATGGTGCAAATTATCACGAGGATCCTTCTGACTTTTTACGCCAATCATCATGATTGAAAGGACTGTAAAAAATATGAAGTTTCCCAAGCTAACTCGAAGCACTGCATCTGTTTCAAACCATTCCCTATCTGGTGTTTTGTGGAAATGATTAATCCCTGCAAAAGAATTGATGTGCAAAGCACCAATAGTTACCAAAATTAAGGTCGCATTTGGCCAATATAACCATTAAGGCTCAGCTCTTTTGGGTTGCAAAAATTAACATCCAACTTTTTCCAACTCCTTACAATTCTATCCAACTCCTTCTAGTTTCTTCCAACAATCAATCACTTAAAAATGCATTTATATATGATGAATATACGATAACATTATATATCCAAACAAAAACAATGATGAATTCTTTTTTTATCCAAGATTAGAGTTTTGTTACATATTTATTTAGGTGATCATTTAATTGAGTAATTTTTTAACACTTTAGTTCTTCCAACTTTTTCCGGTTTCTTCCAACTCCTCCAGTTTCTTCCAACATCCAACTCTTAAATTTCAACTCAAAAGAACAGAGCCTAAAGTATGCTACGCGTTATAAAATCCCCCAACTAGCCTAATACATCGACAAATGGTGGAAAACTCGGTGTATCATCCATTTTCCCATGCCTCACTCCATTTAACAACAGCAGTTGAATTATTAAATCTTAGAGAATTATATCCAGGATATAACTACAACAACAGCTCATAAGTCAGGTAATCCTAATAAGATGTTGACACACATGCACGCACACAAGGATATAATTAAAAGGCAGAAGTTAAAAGCAAGATCCTTAACTGTCATAGTTTTACTAGAATCACCAAATATAGGCCCTAACACTATGTTTGAATCAAGATTTAGAAGAAAAAAAAGGAAAAAGGTTTATCTCGGAAGACAATTTGTTTCTCTTTTAACTTTAATTTTTCCTCTCAATCTTCTTTTCCTCCCTAACCGAACAAGAAAATTTATTTCCCATATCATTTTTTTTATTTTCCCACTCAAATTCCTTTAACCGTGTAAATACGAACTAAGAAGGGTGGAAAATGAAGGGAAAAACTTACATGGGATTTTCTCCATGAGAGGAGCAGCAACTTGTCGAAAAATCCATGAAACAATCAGAGATAGCCCAAAAAGACCGCAATAAGCAATACGGGCAGAACGGCGGCTGATCCCGGACACCACCGTCCTACAGGCATCACAGGCGCAAGCGGCGCAGCATGACGCAAGGCAAGACGCTGCCCACATCTTCAGAAAACTCTCTTACTCCGGTCCTTGAACCCCCGAACAAACGGAACAGCTCAACAATTTCAAAACCTAAAAGTGGCCTTAGTAAATTCCCAATGATCAATGGAAACAACTAATTTTTTAGAGAGGAAAACCTAAAATCAATAGAGAAAATTGAAGATCGGGTGTATAGGAGATCAGATAAGCACATCGATGGCAAAAAGTTGCACCAATTCAACGACTATAAGTCTATAATTGAAAAACTATTGATCATGCTTACCTTGGTGGCGTGCGCGCTTGCAGCGACAAGGGGAGGTGGGATAACTCTGAACGGATTCACAAGGTCACAGTTAGAGTAATGTACACGGTGTTTCCCGTAGTAGAAATACGCCGTAAGTATAATTACCTCCATTTAAAATTACAAATTGTGTAAATTTCCAAAATAATACTTCGCACTCCGTATTCACTAATTATTGTTTTGTGAAATTAGTTCTAACTTCTAAGACAAATTAATTGTTGACATGGTAGTCGTTAATTGAGAATAATGTTTTCTTTAGTTCCTTGACTAATATTCGTAAAAACAAGTTAAAACTGATACTGAGAGTCTGTTCTTTAGGGCTTGAACTTTAAACTTCCAGTTTCTTCCAGTTTTTCCAGTTTTTCCAGTTTCTTCCAGTTTCTTCCAGTTCCTTCCAGTTTCTTCCAACTTTTTTCATTTTCTTCAAATTCTTTCTACTCCTCAACCAATTACTCTAAAAATGATATATTTCAATGTGATTATTATTATTATTATTATTATTATTATTATTACTATTATTATTATTATTATTATTACAACTATTATATTCATAACTGTAGTTTATAAATTATTTTTTTCATCTAACTATTTTTACGATTCACACTTATTATTTTTTTCTTCAACTTTTTAATATGAATAAGACATTTTTTGTATATTAGTCTACATGATAAAACAGGAAAACATCAATATGTTAAATTATACTAAAAAATTATGGTTAAAATATTTACATTGAATGTTTTATTAATATAATTTTTTAAAAAATATCTCAATCCCTTTATTACTTAAAAACTGCTCATTTTTCTCATTTTTATAAAAAATATTGTAAGTCAAAAGAACTTAGAGAAAAAGACTAAAATATGAGTAAAAACATAAAAAATGTAAACAAAAAAGTTCTATGTCTTAATTCCAAAAATAGGAATTCAATGAAAATAAAATATCAATCATGAAAGAAACAATAGGTTTGATTATGTGACATGTATGATATTTAAAACAAAATGTTTTAATATATAAATAATAATTACAAATACATTATTTATAATAAATACTGCAAAAATAAATTGAGGTGCAATATAACTACACAGCCTTTTTAAAATTTAATATTTTTATATTTATGCTAACTTTATATTATAATTATTTTTTGTAAAAGTAGTTTTTTGTATTTAAAAAATAACAATACTTTTTTTATATCTTAAAGACAATCACTAAGATAACGTGATGATGATGATGATTATGTTGATGATTATGATGATGATTATGATGATGATGATGATGATAATGATAATGATAATGATAATGATAATGATAATGATAATGATAATGATAATGATAATGATAATGATAATGATAATGATAATGATAATGATAATGATAATGATAATGATAATGATAATGATAATGATAATGATAATGATAATGATAATGATAATAATAATAATAATAATAATAATAATAATAATAATTTATAACAACAAGAATTTAAAATAAATATTTTTAAAGTTTTTTAGGTTTTCCAGTTTTTTCAGTTTCTTCCAGTTCCTTCCAGTTTTTTCCACTTCCTTCCAGTTCCTTCCAGTTTCTACCAGTTCCTTATAGTTTTTTTCCAGTTCCTTCCAGTTCTTCCAGTTTCTTCCAAGTTCTTCCAACATCCAGCTCTTTTTTTACAGTCCTAAAGAACAGGTCCTAATTCTCCAAAATGACCATTTCTTATCAGGTCTTTTTCCAAATTACTCTGTTTTGAAATAAAAACGTATTAAATATATAAAAATAATTTTATATTTTATAAGATGAAAATATAATAAATAAAGTTGAAACTATAATTTATTAAATTTGAAAGTAAATGTTTCAAAATGTTTACAATTATTTAAAACTATATAATGTAAATAAAATATTTAATAAACATGATTTATTCGCTACCCCAGTTTTGAAATAAATTTCTTGTTTTGATTTACAATGTAAGTTATTTTCAAAAAGTTATAAACAAAAATTGGTCTAGAATTTAATAAAAAAATTATAAAAAACGTACACTATAAGTTCTACACGTACAAAACAAGTGCCACATCTCCCTTATTCAGGACGGGTTCATCAACAACAGACACAATGTCAACCACGATATACATAAAATATAACTATATGTTTAGCAATGCAAACTTTAGAGCGTTAGCAATGGTGAGACAAAAATGGAATGTCACGGCGCAGTGAAACATTTTAACTAATAGAAAACAGTCCAATCTTCATGTGAGAAATTAGTGGAGTGACATGCTTTTGCAGTAGTAAGTAATTGTTTTTTCTACTTTTTATGTTTTTTTAATTATTTTAATTATTAAAAATTATTTTACTTTTTTTCAAAAAAAATACTTCTACTTCTTTAAAAAAGATCTTCAATTTATTTTATGAAAAAAGAAAAAAAAGAAAAATTGGGAGCGAATTGGCACGCATAAGCACCGCAAAGAGGGGTGGAACGCCTAAAATTACTAGAAATCACCCTAAATCTATACTATATACAAAAGCAAAAGAAATGGGGTGGAAAAAAAAAAGAAATAAAAAAAAGTTTATGCGTGCTCAGCTACAGAATAATAAATGTATGGCCTTTAATTTGCTCTTCTTTGTTCATTGAACAAAAATAATTAGTCGTAGCCAACAATAGTAATAAATGAAACAATTAATTTTTGACTCTTAATTTGCCTTTCTATGTTCATTGCTTTTCTGCCGTTTGCACTTCTGTAACATAGACCAATTATATTTTTCTCTTCTTTTGTTCATTTCTTAAGGTTTTTGCTGATAGTAGACTCATATCCGTGCTCTGCACGCGTACGGCAAGAAATTCAGTTAAAAATGTGAATTATGATAAGTTCAATAAATAATTATTTGTGTGTCATTAAATACAAATCCAACATTACATATAAATAATTTGGAGTAGCTAATGTTTCGATAAAATTTTATAAAAAGTTTTATATACGCACTCTCTCTCATAAAAAGTTTTATACTTCTTTTTTCATTTATCTCAAAAGAAGTTGTGACTCTTATAATTGTTACTATCACTTTTTGTAAACACAAATCATCACGATTTAAATAGACATGAGATGAAAATTGGCAATAATAGTCAGACTACTACTTTTCTATACACTTTCATTTTATTGTTAGAGTTAAATCGTTAGCTTTTGAAACATGTAAATTCCATATTTTTTGTTCAATAATATGATCCATGATAGAGGTAAAGACGTCATGGCTCATGGGTGGCCCGGAGGGTGTGCAAAGTGGCCAACCGCACAGGGTCTCTAAAATTTTTGGACCCCATACTCTTAAATTTGTTAATAATTTTAAAGCAAAAGTATTTGAAAAAAATAAAATATGGCCCACTATGTAAATTCTGGACCGAGCCAATTTTATTTTTTCATTTTTCGGGGCCAGCCCTGGGTAAAGTCTCCATTTGCAATTGAATTTATTTAAAAATATGCCTTATATTATTCTGAACTACTCCGTATTTCCTTATAATCTTATACCCAAAAAGTTGTATGAAAGAGTTTGTTTTAATTTATTCCAAAAATGAATGCAGACTTTTGTATTTTATTGAAGTTATAGTCACGACATGAGATTAGTTATAAACTACTCTATCATTACGTAATGTTTTGATTGGAAACTCTTGATCTATGTACGGACATTATTTGCGCATGGGTAATATGCAATCTTGCGACTGTCCTTTTGTCTTCCTAAGCATAAATGATTGGGTTTGGATTCCAAAGAGTATAATTAATACGGAGTATTAGGTAATGGCCTTTGGGCTTCCAATTTTTAATGTAGATAGCTTGATCAAAGTGTTTTTCGAAAATATATTGTTTTTTATTCATTTTATATTACTCCGTATAAAATAATTTCATTATTTAAAGATGATAAAAGGTTAAAACGAGTATTAAAAAAATATACGTTCGGTAGTGAATTTTTTATTATTAGGCATACATCAATCTTTATAAGAGTTTCTAAATGGTTGGTTGCGGCTATAGATATATGATGCTTCATATATTTTCGTTTTCTTATATAATCTTTTTATTAGAACCTTTTTATAACCAGTATAAAAGGCGGCCATAAGCCTGTGTTCTGCACCATAGATTATAATTAACTTTCATTAATGCATGAATTGGACTCTGTTTTTTTGTTGGAATTTCAAAGTTGGATATTGGAAAAATTGAAAAGAGTTGGAAGAAACTAGAAAGACTTAGTAAAAGTTGGAAAGGGTTGGAAAATATTGGAAGAATTTAAGTGTTAAAAAGTTACTCAATTAAATGATCAACTAGATACATAAATTAGAAATTTGGATAAAAAAGAATATATTATTGTTTGTGTTTGATGTGATATGCAATAATGTATAAATTTAGGTATATAATTTTATTTTATATTCAGCATATACTCACTCCGTTCACAAATAAACTTTTCCGTTGCGCTTTACGGTGTTTGAATGAAATTATTTTTAAATCATTTTATGATACGTACATGGTGTAAAATTTTAAAATAAAAATTACAAATCCAAAAACTATATTAAAAGATTTACAAATAACAAATTTGTTTTTAAGGAAGAACTTTGTTTAAATCAACACACTGCTAATAATATTATGACAGCATGATACTGTTAATACCAATATCTTATAATCAAGATATATACGTACAATTTATTGAAATTATTAGCAAACTTTGTAAAGAATAAACGTTTTCATGAATGCAGAGCCTTGGGAGGGGGGGGGGGGGCAAGTGGAGAGTGGGTGAAAAATTGGAAGGGGATATTCCAATATTTTCATATTCCGACTTAGTTTTTTAATGTTTGATTGTTACATCTCAAAGAAATCATATCTTCTTATTTTTGTATCAATATTTTAAAGGGTATATGTACGTTTTCTACAGTAGCGTATTTTGAGGTGAGAATGAGCCAATTTTTGAGTTGGCTTCTTATTTATTGTAAAAAACATATTAAATTTTTGGGATAATAGTTTTAATCATTCCAAAGATCAAGTGGAGTTATATGTAGAAGATAATTGAAAGTTGGAGATGTTTTATCC